AGTTGCTTCAAGTATATTAGGGATTCATTCGTCCTAACTTGGAGTACTGCTCTCATATCTGGGGTGGCTCTTCTTCTGGCCAACTGTTAGATAGGGTGGAATCAAAGGCATTTCGTCTTATTAACTATCCTCCTTTAGTCGACAATCTTTCTTCCTTTTCTCTTCGCCGCAATGTTGCTTCACTCTTTCTCTTTTACAGATACTTTAACGGGGCAATGTTCGGTTGATTCGGCATCCTGTTTTCCGCCAGCAAGGCCGTGGGCTCGTAACACTCGTCTTGCTCTGCCTTCTTCTGTTTTTCCATACTTATACAATCTGTCTCACTTTAAAATGCTTGTTTTCCGGCATCTTCGTGGCGTAGATTAATACAGTATTTTTCTCTTCTATTTTCAATTTCTTTTTACTTTTTTTTTTTGCCCCCTAGGCCCAGATGTGGGTCGATGACCTGTGCCCGGCTGGGTTATTCCCCGTAATATATATTGCTTAATATTGTCTTTTTAGAAAATTTAGAATGAGAATTTCGATCACGGTGATTTGGATTTGAATTATTTTTAAATAATGGATAATGACTTTTCGGTCACATCACAATGGTGGTGAACAATCCCACTTTTTCTTCATACAGAAATAAATTATGGAGGGTCGACATCTTAACCAGCCGACAAATTTGGCTGAGCGCAGAACGTTAGTGTGTATGTGGATGGCTGGGAAGCCTTACCGAGCCATAGCCAGAGAGACGGGGAAGAGTGTGACCACCGTGTGCAGGTGGATAAGACGCTGGAAACGAGAAGGCCATGTGAACATACGACCTCGTAGTGGCAGACCCCGTAAAATAAGAAACTTGCATCATGCCATCGTGTCTCCCTTTGTCTCCCAGGCTCCCTTGGCCTGCAAAAATAATATCTACCCATTACAACTGATGTGCAGGACAAAAACAGTTGATTATCAGTACCCTTCACCTTATCCTCCCTATTTTCAACTGAATGCAGTGATAAATAATAGGCTTTTAAATTTTAAGGCGTTTATTGCTCATCAAAATGATGCTTCCATTAATCTCGTATGAATTGACTTATACCTGGTTCCAGTTACGAGTAGAGTTGTTATTTTCCATAACGAAAAATATAAAATTTAACATACTTCATTTGTATTAATTAGCACTGGCATGAACGAATGGTAGTGAAATAATTTAACCAACTAGAGTTTAACTGTCAAACTTTCTTTTCTATTATATGTGACTAAAGTGATAAGAATTACAATTAAAGCTGACATTACAAGGAAGGTCGAGAAGTTTGTTCAACTCTGATATTGATTTCATGACTGAAGGATAATAATTCATAAATGTATAGTAATTATAGATAAAAGCACATACTTTTAGGGTACAATAAATCATAATCACCAGTCTCAATGTTTTTTCATTATCAATTACACCTACACCTGAGAACAAAATTCACTTGACTCTTTTGACAAAATCTGTAGGAAACGGAGCTTATGTTATATAATAATGACTACTAGATTTTTCCTTTTAGGCGTGAGTTTTATGTTGCTCTTCTGACCTAATGTAATGAAAAGCAACTTCAATCAGCTGTAAACCAATTTCATATATGATTAACAAGTAAGATGTCAAATATTGCCAACTGTCAAGGGAAATTCTCTGCAGCTGTACAACATATACAACATAATATCATAATATGCAGTAGTGAAGTAAATTTAATGTTAATTCCTCATCATTTTATTCCTGTTATATGTTTTACGGATAATCGTCAGATTCAATCTTAAAACTCAGCTCATCCTCTGTGAGAGAGGGAGACCTTCTTTATATATTGTAAGGGGAGTGTCCGCTAAAATTACAATTTTATTTAAGACGTTTTGCACTCTTTCTGCATAACCAAATTATACCAAAATTAAATTAGGGTGATGTTGATGTTATAAAGTATTACTGTGCTTTAACATGTATGGTCTTTAAGCGTTAGTAACTACAAAGGAAAACCATCTCATTTCAACGTTCTCGAGATATATTCACTCTTAAGTAGATTTCCATAAATTCTTAATAATTATATGAATACATCACGTAGGCGCTTGGAACTTGACGCTCTTTTCTCTTTGTAATTAACAGCATACCACTGAATCAAGCTTTCTTTTGTGGTATTGTATATACAGTACATATACAGTATGTATATATTGCGTGTAGTATACACAGTATATCTGATTGCATTTGTTGATATATTATGAGCTTCTATACCATATTAGGTTTCATTATAAACTGTTTGTGCAAATGGATATGGTCAAACACTCAGACCAGAATTACTTACTGGAAAAAAAAGTCAGTAAACAATATTCTGTCGATATAAAGTATTTCTGATGTAAGCTACACGCTGTACTGCGCTTACACTCGCGCCCTCTATAAGGCAGTCACAAAAATCTTTATGCATGAATGATTTTTAAGCCACTTCAAAGGTACACAGCTTATTGGTAATGTAAGTCTGCACTTACCACTAGACGTAATGGACAACGGATCATGGAGTAATGTAATTTTGACATATATAAAGTCGTTTTGAGAGTTTTAGCAAAGGTAATGAATACTTCTGCATTCCTCAATAAAATGTACACTGTACATCAACCGGTGCTTATTATTGACGTGCTGCATTAACCGACCGAATTTCGTTATATTTGTACCGAAATAAAAATGTTCTACAAAGAGACGAAGTTCCCGAATTACTGTACTAGTGGTAGTAAGTGTTGACGTGACATATTATTCGTATTCCCACAAAATAACACAACTAATAAAATAAAATTTTATGCAATTGAATAAAAATGGAGAATGTGTTCATAAGTGTGAAGGTGAAATTGAAATCGTGAATTATAAGAATTATAAAGAAACCCACTTAAGAGTTTGTAAGGACGAGATTTTGGATTTATAGTAATTTGCTACTTTTTATATATAAATAATTTTTATTTTATTTTTTTCTGGTCATATTACCTAGGACACGTCAAATTCGTCTTCGAGTTCACAGACATATACTACTATCTCAACAAAAATTTTTACATGTTCCTTCTCCCTGTGTATTTACGGTTGCACCAAGATATATGAATAGATCCTAAACTATCTTGAAAGGAACTTGTAGCTAGAACTTTCTCGGGGACATACATGAAATTCCTGAAGTTAACAATTTGAACAAGAAAGAGTGAAACCACCGTTTTAAGATGGAGAATCCCCCACCTTCATCTTGGAAATTGTATATGTCCTTAAAGAATTAAAGCACTATCTTCAAACGACTAAAGGTCTAAACTATCATTCTCAAGGGACTAAATCATTGTCCTCAATGGATAAACTAGTATTCGTCCAAGACCTCCTCATTCTCGCTAATACTAAATGTATTATGATCATATTATTGTACGGCTGGGGACCCAGTCAGTGTGGAACTAGTGAAACGGCTGGTTAATTCCAAGTTAACCAGATTGGTTCACATATATTATATTGGGCTTTAGTAACGAAACCCAATTGAAGTTTCTTGTTTTATTAGAAAAGTATTATGTTTATATAATTCCTGAGTGTAGATCAACCGTAAGTTCCACTATTTATGAGTGTGATGAGAAGGGAACGGCGTTAATGTACAGTTTATAAACGTGAATCAACGTCCGTTCGATATTAGTTTGTGAGTGACTTAGAGTAGTGACCCATCGAGGGAGAACGGAATAGGTACGTCGTTCCCCCTCGAGGGAAGACAGAGCCATCCACTGGGGCTCTCAAATAACGTCTTCCTCTAGTCAAGGATATCAAACTACTGCTCGCTTTAGGAGTCCAGAGAGCAGGCTACTTATGCCTTTCTCAGAATAGTATGACGCAGCTTCCAGTGGGCACACCATATCACATGCATTGAACATGTCACCGCATAGCCAGTGGAAAGTTACAGGGGATGAATCTGAATATAAATCAGATGTAAATAACCCATTTATATAATACTTCTGTTGATGAGACAGGGGCCATTACACCAGTTAATCGCAAACCACCTGGTAGAGTCAATCATGTGGTAACAGTGACCAAGGTGTTGGGTATGAGGAGGTGTTGGTGAAGGGGTGTGTGCAGCATACATTAATATTTTCATATTTTCTGAGCACATTAGACAACATTTAACCCGTTGCGAAGTTTGACTGTAGAAAAAAGTTACCTATTTTCTAGCCCATGTTCTTAACTTATATATTATGTCCCTCCCGCCTTCATCTCTCCTCATTATACTTCCTCCTGCACAAAACTCGGGGACTCTACCACCACTCCAAACCGCTAGCAGACCAGCTCCTATCCGTCCCTCCCTTTACAGTGTTACCAGAATAACGAAACTCTACCTGCTGCCTTGAGCTCATTGGTATCCCATTTGTAGGGATCGAATCCATGGATGGTGTTGCACTCGGAAATTTTCCCAACTGTACCTAAACTTTTTTTTAGTTTCTTATTAGGAGGGCAAATTGTTTGTGTTTTTTTTAACCTCTTCTTGGCCTCCTACTGAATCATGATGCCTGACTTGCTTTCTTCTTTGATTTATATTTTCTTTTAATCAGGCATTTAGGTAAGGAGTCTCATCAGAAAGCAGCAATGAGAATAGATGAAGAGGTAGATAATATTATTGGAATCGGGGAATAAATAGGAGTTTCCTGCGGGCAATTCAGATGATACAGCTGCTGAGAATGTCGATATGGTGTCAGTGGGTGTGTGTGTGTGTGGGAAGTTTGGCGATCAAATGGGTATTGGCTTATCTGCTGCCCGCGGGCTTTCAATCATTGATGCCAAATGTATAGATTTTGATGCCGCATTCTATTACCCCGAGAGCAGTATTGCCTTCACTTTCCCTTATATAGAACACTTTTGGGACGGAGGGAGGAAAATAAATAACATATTGTAAGTTTATCGTTGCAGTCAGAGGTTGAGAATCATCCATGACGACTGTTGGAGTTTCCATACTCCTGTTGCTGACTGTCTCCCCAGCCGTCGCCCAACTGCCTCGCCCTCATGGTACGTGAAAAACTACATTTAAACTCTTGAAAGAAAATAAAAATATGTTCACGTGCAGAGTATGGAGTAAACGTAACACCAATATGATATAATTTTAATACGCAGGAATATACATCTTCATCAGAAGCGGAAAATATTTTTTCCCTGTATGTCAGTTTCGGAGTTGAAACACGACAATTGAGTAAAACATTATAAAGAAAAGCTAAGCAACTCGATAAAAGATGAAATAATGCCTACTAAGAATAAATCATAAGGACAGAAAATGAGACGAAACTAAGCTACACGACATTATTTTTAGGGCCAACAGTTGAAGTGGCAAAAGAAGCCCATACAACAAAAATATTTCCATAGCGAATTACTGAGATCCAAACTAACAGTTGAATACAGTAAATCAGACAATTTTTAGAGTCAATAATACTAATGGCTGAAATAAGACTGTTAGATTATGGAAGCCTAAGAATAAAGCACATTATCCCTATTTACAGAGATTTCCTATAAAATATATCCACGTGTACTATATAAACTTTACATTTTGTCACTCCCTCAGACAGTAGAGACACTTTGACAGTGTCAGCCACAGTGATGGAGGCTGTATTGTCGACAGAGAAGGACCCAAGGTGTTCCTTCCTCCTGCTCACTGATGGTGTCACCTCCCCTAACACCTTCCGCATGGTGCGTAGTGTGTCAAGCAGCATGAATACTCTCACATAAATAATTATGCCTTGCGTTTTAGTATTTTGAAGCTGAGTTCATATGATATACTGTAAGTATAGGTTGCTATAATGCTGTAATTGTAAGATTATTATGCTGTAATTGTAGAATGTTTTGTCGTATTGCAGCTGTTTTACTGTTGTTATTATTTGCTGTAACAGTACTTGAATTATACACAAATTATTTTATGATTATACAGTAAGCTTCTTTCTTTCTCTCATACCAGTTGAAAAAGCAGCTGCAGACGCCTTGTTTGTTTGGCTTTTTCGAGGCTACAGAGGACAACAAAGATGTTGATCAGGTGATCGAGGCGGCCAAACGGGTAGGTCACATACACTATCACTTTTTTGCCTTTAGTTTTTAGTACCCCGGGGATGAGGTCACTCATATCTTACTGTTGAGGTGGGTCTTTTTCATGTGAGGCGGTTAGGTTATTCCCAGTCTATCTTTGAGACTGCAGAAGGTCAACATATTCATAGTTAAATTGTTCTTGAGACAAAGTTATCATTATATCATCAGACTGACAGGTGATAATTAACACCCTGATTCCAACAGCTGCGGCGGAATTCATGGCATGTGACGGTGGTGGTCGTGAGCGACGATCCAACTTTCCTCACTTCCATCACCAGCAAGACGGTAAGGAACAGCCTTCTAGTGGCTGAGACGAGGCTCCTAGCCGTTACTCGGCTTCCCCTATCAAAACTGTGGGATCTCCAGGAGTCCTTCGCTCTGAGGAACGCCATGTTGATCCTCATGGATGAAACCTCTGGATCCCTCGGGTAACATTACATAATCTTTCTTGTGAATGCAGAGGAATGTGTTCAAGTCACTAGAATATTTGTGTGAAATTCGCCCAGTGTTTAAGAACTTAGTAGTGATGACTGAGATAATTCAACAGATAGTGTAGATAATTATTATTAACCAACTATCTAGAAAAATGCAGTTGGTAACTTAGTAAAATGCTGTCGACGATGGAGATATAGGTACTAATAATAATCTAGAGGACACTATTGATGATTTAGAGAACAAGTAAGGATAATTTTAGTAGCCACTTTTGATAATTGCGAGAAATAGCATTGATAAACTCCAAAAATACTAAGGCGTAATATTCTATATTGAAAATGTGTCCTCAACAGGTGCAGCGTGTACGTCCACCTTCCTTACAGACCGCAGGGCACCAAGGCGTTGAAGATTGCCTCCTGGACGCCTCATCGAGGCCTCACTCTCACTACCCAGCTCCCACTCTTCCCTGATAAGTTTACAAGGTGACCAAGAATACGAACTGTACTGTACTTTTTAAAGTATCACTCAATAATTATCGTGGGATATTTGCACTGCAGCAAATTATTAGTAAAAGTAAAGTAAAATATAATTCTGAGAAATAAATGAACCACAATACATTTCTAATTTGTCAATCTTATTTTTTGATAAATCTTTTGAGGATGTTGATTTGAAACCTTTAGGATAATATTCTATTTACTGAGTAACGACGAACCGTTAACCCTTTGAGGATGAGAATGTAGTCCCAGGAAGAAGGCAGTTTAATCATAGACCTCAAAAGAGTATGCACTGTACCTGAGTACAACAGATACACCAAGATTCATGATAAAGTGAATCTTAAAAACTAAAAAAAAAAAAAGATTCGTACTCAACCTTTGTTGGTCATGACAAGGCGAATTACGAGTTCCCCTATTTCCTTCACAATAGATGTTAAACATTCTTCAGTAACTCAATAGATTCGTCGGTGAGGCTTCTGAAGACATTCACTTCTCCAGCTCATTACAAAGCCCTTCTATTTTATCGTGTCTGTGTTACATTTATGGACTATAACAACCAACTTACTCAGAAGAGTATAACAATTATAAAGTATAACAATTATAAAGTAACACAACCACAGATCGATGCTTGAGCCCTCAATCAGTAATGCCTGTAAGTCAGTTCCAGTTGACAACTAAAACACCACGAGTTGGCGAAAGTCCTGGTTAGTATTTGGAAACTTCTAATACCACCTCCCGACGACTACTGTTACTTGACCCGCTCTAGATCTGACGTGATGTGTGACTTCATATATCATGGAATTTTTTTCATCAAGACTGTTAGATCTCAGTCTAGTTGTTATTATTCTAAGTGTGTTAACGTGCTTCAACAACTAAGGTCACTGAGCAAAACACAAAGTCACTTTCTATACTAGATAAGAGTCCTTTAGATTTGGGAAAGATATATTTTCCTAAAGCTGATAGTCAGTGTACAAATTGACATCCATTGTCTGGTGTTGGAGGTTGACTTAAATTACAGGCTGAATTATTCATAGATATGAACTCGGAATATTTATTCCACTTTGATATCATTTAATTAAATTTATTGGAGAACCTATAATTACTGCATTATATACATTATATGCATTATAATTATTACAAATAACGTGTTGCTTATGGATCTCCATAAAATAAAAAATTACTCAAAAAAAAAAAACCCACATTTACCCCCGACGTAATGTGTTCTGACAATGTACTGCACTATTGGCGAGACTTATATCTTCTTGTAGGAACACGTGGTCATAAGAACACAATTGGTAAATCTAGAACACGTCACTTTTTCAGTGAAAAGAGAACGTGTAATCCCAAAGGACTCCTTATGCTTTTGGCAGTTCAACTTGGTGTGTGTTGCTCTCTTAAGTGATACTCCTATAGGCTAATATATATCATGCAGACTTCTTGGTGGTATCTAGCTGTCTATTTATATCTCTATCTGTATAATTGTAATTCAGTCCAGTTCATTGTGGTTCACATATCAAGTCCACCATGACTCAATAATACAAACACCCTCCCTCCTCATCCCGAGGAGTAGGCAGTCATCATTAAGGCAGCTCAAGGTTAATCACGTTCCGGTTTCATACCTCTAGAATAAGGTGCAGAACTCTACAGGCTGTAGATGCAAAGAGCCAATAGAGCTGTATTTTTAGACAAAGGTCGTTTGATGTGTCTACTCATTGATCATGAACCATAACTCTTGAGGTTGACATCGAAAACAACATAACCGTTTTCGAGATCTTATGAGAACATGCAGGCTTATGCCTGTTATGAATCGTAAATATATTGTAATACAATATTGTAATGACACATTGTAATGCACATTGTCTTGTATATGCAGTACCTAAAACAATTATCTGTGCATACTTTGTGGGAAACATGAGACCATGGACGATAAATTTTGGTATATGAGGGCTGTCACTAGTCACACGTAAGATTTCGGAACATATGGACCCCCACCTGCACAGGTAGTTGTTTTAGCTACTATACGTACAGGCGAAAAAAAAAAGAGCAAAATAAATACTTTTCCTCGTGTATACAGATATACAAGGATGCAATAATTAGGGCAGGTTCCATTCGAAACGAGATCTGTATTCCCATTTGAGATTTCTAATTCTCAATGCAGAATGTTTGCATGGAGGCTATGCTAATAAATTACTTTATCGACAGATTTCTCGAGAAGCCACATCTGGTGGCAGTATCGGTGGAATTTGCCTCTCATAACCTTATTGTGTTAGAGGATGTAGCGGCTCCCGGAGGAAAGAGGATCACCTTCGAGGGAATCATGGAAACTGTGCTAAAGTATCTTTCTGAAGGTTTAAATTTCACGTGAGTTGAAACTTCTTTTAAAGTGTATATATATATATATATATATATATATATATATATATATATATATATATATATATATATATATATATATATATATATATATATATATATATATATATAGTGACAGGATTATCCAAGCTCTCACCTCCTCCCTGACCAGGAGTGCCTGGCTATGTTTGACAGCATTTTAACCTTCACTTACATTTGATGGACTTACAGTAGAACATGTGCCCTTGCATTTAAACATAGCTGTGTTTAATATTTGAGTTTGATAAATTTAATTCATTTACATTTAAATGCCAAATCCCATAACTGAACCCAAGCCTGCTTTGATGCCAGTATATTAAACTTGTTACAACAATAAAATAAAATCCCTAACAGCAAAAATTATTATTACTATAATGTTGCATAACTTGGCAACAAATACAATCACGATTGTTTTTCAAAAGAAGGACTTGTGTATGATTTGTAACGGCCCTCAGGTACTCGTACGTGCGACCTGAAGATGGGACCTGGGGGACTCAAAACGACAAAGGACAGTTTTCTGGCATGATGGGCGTTATGACCAGAGGGGTAGGTATATATTTTGACACCTTTCCACTCTCTTAAAGAATAGGTTAAGTAGATACACGTGGGGATAAGTGCTACTAAAATGGCCCAGAAAATCCTAAAATAGATAATCCAGGTTGTTTGTCTACAACGATTAAAGTATTTAATTCTCGTTATAGTTAAAGAAAGTATATCTACAGGAAGCGGATATTGGTCTCGGTCCTTTCGCTCTGACCCCCATCCGCTACGGGGTAGTGGACTATACATATCCTGTAGACATCGCCTCTATGAAGATCATGTCGGGTCGAGGGAGGGCGGAGGCGGACCCGTGGGGCTTCCTGTTGCCCCTGGCACCGCTGGTGTGGGTGGCCCTCCTAATATCGCTCTCCGGAGTGTTGTTAACCTTTCTCCTTTTATCTTCTTACTTGTCTCCCAAAATATTTGATCGACGAAGCTTCAAGACAAACGCCAGCAGCCTTATCCGAGTATTATTACAGCAAGGCAAGTGATAAATTCGTATTTAATTGATAGATTTATTTTTTCAAGTAAAACAAATAGGAAATATAACTTTAACTTAAGAATCTTCCTTTTCAAGCTGGTATTATTTCGGCACTCCACACATACCTGTAGCCCTCTGACAAGAACCGAATAATCTGTTATTCCCCAATTCATTTGATCTGCTCTTCTAATAAGAAAAGAAAAAAAAAATATTATATATATATATATATATATATATATATATATATATATATATATATATATATATATATATATATATATATATATATATATATATATATATATTTATATATAAGCAACACTCAGACACTGATGGTCAATCATAAAAAAATTCCATCACAGTGAATTTCTCTTGGTGAACAACGCAATCACCAAAGCTTCTAATGCTACTCAATAAGTGCAGGCATATCAATTTTAATATTGCTTTAAAGCATCCATGGCTTTGTTTTTTTTAACTTACCTAACTTGTATAATTAAACAAAAACAACTCTTTTTCAACGTTGTGATGGCCAAGGTAAAGCAGAGTTAAACGCTCTGCCATCTGACCGAGAACGATAATGATGTATTGTTAGTTGTGTGATAAGAAATGGGTGAAGGCCCTTCCTGAGTCGCAGGTTGCAGGCAGAGAAAAAATGCTTCAGAAACTAAAGCAATTCATCTAAAGTTTAGATGAAAAATAATTCCATAAACAAAAAGGGAGAATAAAAGAAGTTTATGCTAGTAACATCAACTAAATTTAACTTGCATGGTTTTGGGATATTATCTTGTAGTGTAGTTAGGATGGAATGAATGGGGGCGTGGATTGGATTTTACTAGTATCACTGAGTTAATAATTGAAGATATCATTTTGTTATGACATAACTTAACTTGAATTACGTTAAAGATGAATATAATAATGAGGGCACATATGGAACAACAAAAAAATGGCAACTCAGCACAACTTAGTCATAATATTTATCACTTAAAATTAATGTTTCTTCAATACACGACAAACAATGTTAAATGCAAAAGCTACAAACACAAATTAGGACGAAATTGTGTTTCATGGGATCAATCACAACAGTTCAGGAGTGAAGGTTTGGAATTATACACAAGAAAGATTTAAATAAAATTTAATAATAAAAAGTTTGCCATAATAATTGTGCAGGTTCCATATTTAGCGGATAAATTAAATCAAGAAAATAAATAATACACAAGATCACCGAATTTGAAAATATTTAGCATAAGACAAAACATCATAGGCAATGACTCCTTGCAAAGTTAAACTACACTTGGTTTTCCATCCTTAATAAATAACTAATATGTGCACAGTATATAAAACGGAAACCACCTCATAACACAATGATTGATTGTACTTTCCACACAATACATAATAGTAAAGCAGCACTGAATATATAATACTCAACTAAACCATATTAGAGAAGGTACCCACCACTGACAAACCCAGACATCCTCTCACTTCCATTGCCCAGCAGTGACTGACAAAACACCGTGAACTGGTGGTCTACAAACCTAACAGCACTAATATAAAAGAACTCCTACATTAAGCTGCAAAAATAGGTAAACATACGTACACATTTTAGGAAATTTTTTAGGTATTATATAAAATACTTTACATACATACATCCCGACACCACCGCCAACACCACAACGGAAGGGAAGGGTAACGAAAATAAAAATATTTCGCTACGCATAACACAATACATTACTGTGCATTATGTCATGTATAACTATTTGATAAAAAGGAGAGATATAAAGTGGGGGATTGAAGGTTAATGAGACAAATAACTCAGGTGGTTAGAGCTCTCATAGCATAAGAACATAAGAAAATAAGGAGTCTGCAATAGGCCGGTTGGCCTGTGCATGGCAGCTCCTGTCGAGAGGTACTACCACTCTCTATCATCCATGAATCTATCTAGCCTCCTTTTGAAACTTTCCAGAGTTCCCGCACTTACTACAAAGTTGCTAAGCTTGTTCCACTCGTCCACCACCCTATTTGTGAACCAGTTTCTTCCTATCTCCCTCCTAAACCTAAACTTATCCAACTTGAATCCGTTGCTCCGAGTCCTATCCTGCTCAGATATTATAAGAACTTTATCTATATCCCTTTTATTGATTCCTTTCACCCACTTAAATACTTCTATCGTATCTCTCCGCACTCTTCGTATTTCTAGGGAATACAAGTTAAGTTTCTTTAACCTATCCTGATATGGAAGGTTTCTAAGTCCCAGAATTATTTTCGTCATTCTTCGCTGCACCGACTCCAGTGAATTTATATCCATTCTATAATAGGGGCACCAGAACTGAACCGCATAATCGAGGTGCGGCCTGACTAGCGCAAGATATAGCTGCAATAAGACCTCTGCACTCTTGTTACTTACACTTCTAGATATAAAACTCAATACTCTGTTTGCCTTATTTCGAACATTAAATCACTGTTTTCTAGGCCGTAGGTCCGGGCTTACAAGTACCCCTAGGTCTCTTTCACAAGTCGACTTCTCGAGGTTGATGTTGTTAAGGCTGTATACATTGACAGTATTAGTTCTTCCAATATTAAGTACGCTGCACTTACTGGTGTTGAATTTCATTTGCCATTTTTCAGACCACCCCTGCAGTTTATTTAAATCCTCCTGTAATGCATTTGCATCCTGCCCTGAATTAATCTGCCGCCTTATTTTGGTGTCATCCGGAAACTTGCTTATGTCACTGCTGATCCCAGTATCTAGATCGTTTATGTAGATTATGAATAAGAGTGGGCCTAGTACTGACCCCTGGGGAACCCCACTGGTTACACGGCCCCACTCAGATTTAACACCATCTACGCTGACCCTCTGCGTTCTATCGGTGAGCCATGATTTTATCCAATTTAAAATTTTCCCCTCGATACCATGAGTCTTAATTTTTCTCAGAAGCCTCTGATGCGGTACTCTGTCAAATGCTTTGCTAAAGTCGAAGTAAATAACATCGTAATTTTCGTCATTATCTACTACCTCGAAGACTTTCCTAAAAAACGTTGGCAGATTTGTTAGACAATATTTTCCCTTTGTAAACCCATGTTGAGAGTCGTAGATTTTTGTTTTAATATTTTGGTTCTAGGATATTTTTGGTAGATAGTTCAACGTACGCCTTTCCTGGCCTGGGTGATAGATATTTTAGTTCAGGAGGAATTTTTTTTCTAGTATTCCATAACGCAGTTTATACTTGATGCTTCATTATTTGTCTTTCTATTATAATCCCATTCGGATGTTTCCTGTAGACATCTCAAATTCGGCGGGATGGTGGTGGGAGCGTTTGATAATAGCTGGATGGATGTTAATGATGCTGGTACTTGCCAGAAGCTACTGCAGCACACTCATGTCCCTCCTGGCCGTGAGATATATCCCTCAACCCTACCAGAGTCTCCGCGACGTGCTGGACGACCCGAGTAAAATTATGATCTGGGAGTGCGGTTCATTCACTGTGGCTTATTATCGTGTGAGTTACTCCTTTTTTTCACATTATGGTAAATCTCTATGTGTTATTTTGCACACAAGAATAATTGTGTTACAGTTTCTTTTTTTTTGTGTTTCATGAGATCACTATCAAATTTGTTCTCTATGATGATATGAAGGACTATCAAAATGAATATAAATTATTTATTCTTCAACGTACAAAGATAAATGTTTCTCGTAATTTTTAGGATAATTACATGAAGATTATCCAAAATATTTCTTATTTCCAGCAAACTATTTCATTCTATCATCGTTAAGACAGAAGGATTTTCAATACTAATTTGATTTTTCTGATAATTCTTAATGCAGAAGTGTTTTCCATCACAGCGTATACCTGTATTTTCAATCACAAGGCTGCAGAAACTGGCATCTTCACTGAAGTGGCTGACGCAGAAAGGGAAGGTCGTGTCATCTTCAACCGGTTAGCAGAGTACCCGGGAAGCATCGACAAGCTGGTAAGGGAGGGTTCCCACGTCATACTGGAGACTGAGAGCTTCTTGCTGACTTTAATGGCTCAGGACTTCTCGCAAAAAGGTAAATATTGTGTGAGGTTAATGTGGATTTCTATGTAATAAATTCAGTTAAGTACCAGTTGGAATACCGGTCGATGCCTTGATTTGTTTTTTGAGGGGCAGCATATAATCAATATCCGTGACGATAATGTTACCTACACTGTAAAGTCACTACAAGATCATTTACTGTACATTACAACCTCCCCACTATCTATATTCCATTTACTACGCCATCTACACTACATCATTTTCACTGTCGTCTAAATATTATCACTTTTTGGTCGGACCGGTTGGACGGTCCCATTGGACCCAAGGAGATACCTTCTTGGTCAGACTGCTCCTCACCCGTCAATTTTGTTGTGTTCTACATATATACAGTATATATATATATATATATATATATATATATATATATATATATATATATATATATATATATATATATATATATATATATATCAAGTAGATCCACAATGAAAACGTGGATAAGATAAAACTTGATAAAATCACACAAGGAAAGGGGAAACAATGGAGCACCTTAGTTTTCGTCTTTATTCAAGACATCTTCAGAGGCAACTGAATTACATAGACGGAGAGAGGCTTAAATACACAGGGTGACCTTATTAAACATGAGGTTAGGTCATAATCATGACATCCACTAATCAGCACACCAACACCACCACACACACGTACAGGAGCTTAAGAGAAAGGGCGACGTGACTAGTCAAGTTAAGTCAGGTCCAAAATATGGGACCCACTAAATAACTATCCTACATCTAGGTCCAAGGTTTTCAAAGCATTTTTAACCTGGGGCCACTGACAAATAAATTTATGTAACTGACATTTTTGTCACCTGGAGTCTACCAAAATGTAATTTTTTTCTGCTATGTTTTTGAGATGTTTGTGTATTTGTGACGCTGAATTTATTGATTAAGAATTGAAATACATTCGTTCCAATGCACAAAAACTTGGGTACCCTTCATTGTTTGTTGATCATTGTTTTAAAAGGGCTAAAAAATCCTTTCTTTCTACTCAAACCAGGCAAATTCCTACACTTAAGTATATATATATATATATATATATATATATATATATATATATATATATATATATATATATATATATATATATATATATATATATATATATATATGTTGTAGTTCAGGGGTGAGTACAGACTGTACTCACCCCTGAAGATGTGAATTACACGAAAGCGCTGGGAACTTCGTGTTTTCTTCTTTCCTTGTGGTTATCAGCATATACCTAGATCACGCGCACCTACAGTGATTTACTTGCATATATATATATATATATATATATATATATATATATATATATATATATATATATATATATATATATATATATATATATATATATATATATATATATATATATATATATATATATATATACACAGGGTGTCCGTAAAGTTCTGGTGCAGTTTAAAATATTAATAATTTAGGTTCTATAGGAGATAAAAACAATCTGTAAACTGCATTTGATAGGTAAGTTATTCAAGTGCCTTTAATCTTAGGATTGTTAGGATTCAACATATGCACCATCATTACGGATACAAACCATAGTACGATTTTGAAGTTGCACAACAGCGTTCTTCAGTTGTGCTTCAGTGATAAACTTTACGGACACTGTTATACTAAATAGGGATAATTACTGACTAAGCCTTATATAGCAACTGAAGTGTTTGTTTTTATTCATATGACTCTATGAAAATTAATTGGTGTTATAGTCAAATTTGCTTTGGGTCCCTTAAGGGAAGGTTAGGTTTGGTTTTGTATGAAACTTTTCTTTTATGTGTACTTTTATGTTCTGCATGATCGTTTATGGCCAGTCACAAGTTTTCCCAAAAGATAAGTACATAGAAGTTATAGCTAATCGGTAATTATCCCTGTAAGATTGTCGACCCTTATGTAAATGCCAATTTTAAATTTTTAGTGTAATGTGAATTTAATTCAGGAATCAGTACCTAATAGCTGACTCAATAATTTCCGCAACAGGACAATGTGATTTCTACTATTCGAGGGACGGCTTCCTCTCTCGTATTTATGGCGTCACTGGACAAAAGAACAACCCTCTTGTTCCTTCCATGAGTAAGAGGTACAGTACATACCTGGATACTATTTGTTCACCGTATATTGTTAACATAGAAATAAGACACACACACACACACACACACACACACACAAGTTTAATATGTACAGGTGTCCACCATAGCGAGGTCGCTAAGTAAGTTACCCAACCATTTTAACTGGTTAGTCATCTTCTTAATAACAAAATTATACAATTTTTCATGCCAATACTCAAATTCATATTGAAAGGTTCAATATATTTACTGAGACCAGATTCTATAAGATTGAGGATACATTTACCCAGTCAATACAATGATTATTATTTCTCATATGAACGAAGAAAGCATTATATTCCTGGCCTGTCCTAACACTGTATTTATGCTGTTGAAGTCTAGTTATAAGATCTTTACCTGTCTGGCCCTAGTAGAACATACTACATCCTTTGCATGGAACCTTGTAAATGCAGGCACCTGCATTGCTGGAAAAAAAATTCAATTAACATTTGGTTCACAGTGCAAGAATTACCAAACGTTACTCTTCTTTGCAAGCCGGGACGCTTCTGAATTAGGGCTGGCTTGAGCTCGTTTTACAGCTTTTGTGAATATGATGCACTGCTGATTGTGCGCCGCTCTTCAAAATCGTGGCAGTATATTGGTCCAATATATCCCAGAAGAGAGTAAGGATCACTTTATTCTCTGAGAGGAGCGTTTTAAATTTTTTTGCTTGAAGAAATGAAAAATGTTGCATACCATGCGTTGGTGTTTTGACTCTGGTTCCAAGTTTGTGCACCCAGGTTTCACCACAAGCAACGATCCGCTATACATTAGGTAGTAGGTAGTAGGCAGCTACCAAACAGGGAGGTACTACCGCCTGGGAAGATATTGGAAGCATAATGTGTTATCTAATGGTAGACCCTGCTGCTGTATGGCATCACAAAAATTGTGACCAAGTCTCAGGTTGCTGATCTGACTTTCTGCCTCAATTACACACAATTGCAGGGCCTCAATTGTTTCACTTACTATTAACAACACAACAAACATATACAGTATTGTTTCTCACTTTTGATCTTTTTTTCATTTTTGTATTTTTTTATGGTTCTTTATTATTACTGTATTATTATTATTATTATTATTATTATTATTATTATTATTAATATTATTAATATTATTATTATTATTATTATTATTATTATTATTATTATTATTATTATTTTTATTATTATTATTATTATTGTTATTGTTATTATTATTATTATTATTATTATTATTATTATTTTTATTATTATTATTATTATTATTATTATTATTATTATTATTATTATTATTACATTTTCGCCCCCCCCAGGCCCTGATGTGGGTCAGTGACCTGTGCCCGGGTGGGCTAATCCCCGATAAAAAAAAAATACATATGTATCACCTTGGCGTAGAAATTGTTCTTTCAGTTTTATTGAAATTCACAGTCAAGCTGTTTTATGTTCTTCGTTCAACATTATGGGGACCCAACGTGCACGCGTTTTCTTAAACTTCAGAACATTATCAACGAAGTTGTGTACTCTACCAACACTGACATTCAAATCTGTTTTATGGGTTGAACCCCTTCAACTAACTTGGTCTCGTGCATCACCAGGTTACACACACCAGGCATAGCTGTACATATTTGAGGAAACAAGTTTCATAAATTTATCAATTGGCATCATTATTCTAAAGGCATGTATGACAAGTAAAAAGTCCTGAGATATAATAGAATTCTCGAGGGGAAGGGAATCTTCTGGAACTCATAGAACCAGAAAGAAATAGTTTGGGAGTTCGGTTCGACTCTCGTGGTTTACTCTCCAAGTCTGACTAATTGGTCCTGGAATGATAACCCGTAAATATATATAATAATACAAGTCAGGAAGGTTACTGCTACCTAGGGTGTTAATAATATAATTTAGATCATTCACTCTCTTCTGTAAGGGTTTGACTGATTTCTCAAGAAGGCAAGAACTTTATCACCAAGATTGAAGATCCTATGGACAGATTTAAAGTCATAGTTTTCTTTCATATTGATTTGAAATTGGCTAAATCCCAATGACTCGCTTTTACTGTCCCTTAAAGCAAAAAGAACTACTACATCAATGCCTTCATCCCAGCCATTCTCATTCTCTAGGCAGTAAGCTCTCAACAGGATTTAAATATCTGATGAAATTTTCCATGGCTCCTTGAGATTTTGGGTGATAATCGGTTGACTTGGCTAAATAAGTTTGAAGTGAAATTAGACCCTCAGTTAGACTGAACAAAGCGGGGAATAACGACCTCGTGAATTTCTCCCTCGTCTAGATACAGGCGGATTTCTTTGAGTTGTTCAAGTGAAATAGTGTTGCTTGCCTTGAGCCATTTTGTGAAAAGAAGGTTTAGTTCATCTGCAAATTCCAAGTTAGTAGTGCCGGGTGCCTTTGTTGATTCCTAAAATTTATATGGTAAGTCTCTGGTTACCTGATCATATACCTGTAGCACACTATTCCTTACTCCGTCATAATTCACGCATTCATCACTGCTACGACTGTAATAAATTTGCCTAGCTTTACGTACAAAATTGGTTTGTACCAAAACAGCCAAATACTGTTTTTTCCCATTTAAAGACTGAGCAAGTTTCTCAAACGTGGTGAAAAAGGAATCGGGATCATTCTCATCCGGTGTGCCAAAAATCTGAGAAGTAATACCAAGATGAACAGTTTTGTGCCACTGTACTATCATGCCCTGTGGCATCTGAAAGATTTTGTTGGCTTAACCTTGGCTAATGTATCTCTAATTTTATCTTCTCTTGTTCCTGTTCTCTTAATTCAAACTGACGTTCATCTTCTATCTGTTTTAATTCAAATTCTCGTTATCTGTCTTCTTTTATATCATACTGTCGGTGTGGTTCTAATTCTCTTAGCCTAAAAAGCTCACGTTTTTGTTTATGCTCAAATTGTTTATGTTTTATCTATAGTCCAAAGATGTTATTGAATCATCGGAACTTCTATGATCATCTATGTCTGGGCGTCACTGCACCGGTATTTTATAGAGAACCTACTACACACTCTTGGCACGGGACAAGTCTGCATCTAAAATGAATTCTGGGATTAATTCTCTAAGAACTAGTTCATTTAAGACTAAGTTCCTTATGTCTTGTTTACTATCAAGCTCTTGTATTCTCCATCATACTAATATGCTATAATTCTCCACTGATCTTTAGTTTTGCGCACCCTGAAATTCGTTTGCAGTTGGGTCTTCCATGAATGCACTAACATCAAAAATCTCTATATAAATAAATAATGAAATGAAAAGAAATCGAATCAAAAACTCATGAAAATTTTGAACACTGCAAAATGAATCAATTCCTCCTGTAACTTACACTGAGTTCATACTAGATACGATGGAATAACAAACTACTGATATTGAAAAATGTACTACGTTTCTTGTATGAAATACTTGTGGAACCTGTTCAGCCTCAAACACAAGCTTAGTTATCAGTATATTGCTTAACTACCCGTTTATATGCCAAAATGTAATGAAAGTTAAAGAAAACCACCACCCCTCTCCCCTCCCCAAGAGTGAAATGAAAAATATAGACAAGTTGTTAACTCAATAGGCTAAGCTCCGGGACAGACTCACCATTTTGTCACGGGATGATAATCGATGGTTAACTAAGTCAGATTCAGATTTGCCCCTGAGGGGGCTAGTTTATTGGGCACCCCCTTACATCCTGTGCAAGGTGAAGCGCAGAAGCGTTTACAGCGCCCATCTGGGAAGTGTGCAAAGTTCATACTTGCCTTTATGACTCGGACATTAAGGGCGTAAAAGCCTGAAGGGTCATAGGTTTTGTCAAGTTACATAAAGTGAGAGAATGATGAGTGTGTGGGGGTAACGTTTCCGGTACACTTCATCTGTTTATAGCAAAGCGTGGCAGGTCCCTAATAATGTCAAGTGCCAGGCCTGTTACTAGGAGGAGGGATATCTGGTCAGGGAGGGAAGAGGTGTTGGTAACGGCTGGGGACCTGTAGGAGGAGGACATAGGGCAAGTGAGGATGTAGTGAGAGAGGGTGTGAGAGTCGGGTTGGCCACAAAGTTTACAAACAGTGCGGCCAGGCTCAGGGTTGCCAATGTACTCCCATAGGTGCCTGTACCCTAGGCGCAGTCTCATGTATATAATCTGTGGTTAACTAATTAAAAACCTAAAAAATGGGAAAAACCTCTTTACTCACTTAAAATATTAAGATGAAGCAAGAACGTTAACCATTAATTCCTTTCGTGAACCAATAGTTGTGACCCAGATAAATGTGTGAAATAAAGGACTGTAATAAAATCACGAGGCTTAAATTAAATCACTTATGTGGAGGTAATCAAATATAGTAATTTTCTTAAACTATACTTATTATTATTATTTACACAAAATAAACACCAAAAGTAGTTACACAAATAGATAAAATCACAATACCAAGAGAAAATGAATAAGAGCACAGTGACGGCCTGACATTGAAATTACCCAGGAAGTCTTGTATCCTGGTGCAAGTAATCACTGGGAAAGTAGCTAAGGCTGACACGCCCCTAGACCTAAGAGACTAAATACACATAAGAGGATTTAGCATAAGTTAGTTGGCCGTGATGAGACTCGAGAGTGGGCTGGGAAAGAGGAACCACCACAGGTCGACAAATTGGAGAGAGAAGACGAACCAAGGAAATTTGCAGAAATTCTCACGCTACTGAGCTGTGAATCAGCTTATAAAACCTCGTATTGGGTGGAACTTGTGGAGCCGGAACTTAGGATATTAAACGGTGATTGGCTTCTGTGAAAGTGTCAGCTGAGGTTTTTGGAAACAAGTCGAAGCGCGAAAGAGACGGTGGGTGGAACTGGCTGGCGTTTCTGTGGCGCCAGTGGATTATAGAGATTTCAATTCCTTCAGGATTCTGGCAATGAGTGAATTCGGTCTTTACGACCACTGGAGGAAGGAAGTCGTCCCGAATTCAACGTCTTGTCTTTCCCTTCCAACCAAGATCACCGTCAGCACCTCGCTCTCCGTCACTCACCTCTGGGTAATGACAAAGACAATCTTCCATGTCTCCATTACTGCTCAGTCTTCCTTTGTCATTTGTGTATTTAAATCAGTATTGATATGGCAAAACAAAATACCTTGGAATGACATATCAAGATGAAATATAATGTTAAAAATATATATTTATATTCCTCTAACCATTAAATATCAGAAATCTGGCGATGGTTATGAGAATGAAGGTCAGTATTTTTTCTATAATTATAGATAACAGTATAACAGATGGATATAAAATAATTCAGGTATAATAACTGATCAGCAAAATTTTCAATACGATAAAGGTCACGATATAGATAAATATTAATGATAATTAACCTTTATAAAGTCACCAGATCCTTGTTATTTCATCAAACATTTGTGTTTTCTCCATTCCCAGGGTTTATTTACAATTCTCGTTTGTGGATATATTCTGAGTCTTCTAGTCTTCAGCCTTGAGATCTTTAGCGTCTGCTTCCTCAAGTTCGTAAGTTCCTCACTGGAGAACGTCACACGCGCCTGATGTCCTTATGTCAAAGCTGTACAACGAATATTAATAAATGTTTATTATTGATCAGTGAACATTATAAATATATATATATATATATACATATATATATATATATATATATATATATATATATATATATATATATATATATATATATATATATATATATATATATATATGCAAGTAAATCACTGTAGTTGCGCGTGATCTAGGTATATGCTGATAACCACAAGGAAGAAAGAAAACACAGAAGTTCCCAAGCGCTTTCGTGTAATTCACATCTTCAGGGTGTGTTGGTGTGTGGATTAGTGGATGACATCATTATGACCTGACCTCATGTTTTAAGGTCACCCTGTATATTTAAGCCTCTCTCTGTCCATAATCCAGTTGCACTCTAAGATGTTAGCTTTCGTCTTTATTCAAGACATCTTTAGAGGCAACTGGATTACATTTAAATATACAGGGGGACCTTAAAAACATGAGGTCAGGTCATAATGATGCCATCCACTAATCCACACACCAACACACACGTAGAGGAGCTTAAGAGAAGGGGGGTGACGTGACTAGTCAGGTCAGGTCAAAAATAAGGGACCCACAAAATAACTATCTTACATCTAGATCAAAGGTTTTCAAAGCATTTTTGACCTTGGGCCACCTTGGGTACCCTTCTGTGTTTGTTGATCGTTGTTTTAAAAGGGCTAAAAAATCCTTTCATTCCTCTCAAACCACACAAGTTCCTACACTTAAGAATATTTTGACTCTGCCCTATCGTAATGAATTTGTCCCGTTTGTTCGGTCCCTTAAGCTTCTAAATATTAATGTTGTTTTCAAGTATGACTCAACCATTACCAATATGTTAATAAGGAATAGCCCAAGTTTGAATGTAAATGGAAGTGTTTATTGTATTCCATGTAGCAAATGTAATTGTAATTATGTAGGACAGACAGGAAAAACACTGCAGCTCAGAATCAAACAACATAAGTATAAGTACCTGGGACCTCACTGTGTAAAGGTTAGCTTGGGTAAGACTCAACTGTAACTGCCGAGTTGTTTTTCACTGACTTAAGCACTGTTCACCACTATTCAACACTGGTTCCATTCCTTTCCCAGATGAAATAGTAACTTCTGGCGAGAACTTGTTGATATTCCCGTGGGGAGGAGGGGTTCAGGGGAGGGAGTTGGTATGGGCCAACATAATAGTTGACGTGGCTGCTGTGTGTGTGTGTGTGGGTGTGTGTGCAATTACACTTACAAATAATTAAGTAAATTAAATTTAATATATGAAAGAAACGGCGAATAATGGATGAGAAGAATATTTAAATTTTATTGTTTCCTATCACACGATATATTATCAAATATGTGGTGTCTATGAAATTCTACATCACAGCACAATAAAGTGCAATAAGTGTGTAATGCGTATCCAATTAAGCATTAACCACATATCTTCTATATATGATTGTATATCTAACATTTGCACATGTTGATAATGTCAAGCATGTCACTTGAAGGCCCTGTCGAGTGACATTCAATGAGTGAGTGAGGGAGTAAATAAAAGGAGCAACATTAAGGTTTTTGTTTCATTTATCTCGTCCACCGCGCCCCGTCACCAAGTTGTCTCCCATAACCTACAGCTCACTCTGTAAGTCACTGACACAGTCTCTTATTTGTGGATTCTTACAGTTGTAAATATTCGTTATTTCATTATATTTCAAGAATAGTATTTTTGGTTTTATACAGTATATATATATATATATATATATATATATATATATATATATATATATATATATATATATATATATATATATATATATATATATATATATATATATATATATATATATATATATATATATATATATATATATATATATATATATATATATATATATATATATATATATATATATATATATATATATATATATATATATATATATATATTTCATGTAGATCCACAATGAAAACGTGGATAAGATAAACTGGTACAAAATAGACCTAAACCAAGTTAAGTTATTTACGAATTTGATGAATCTTGTGATGACGATCCTTCGTTAATCAAAGATGAATTTGGTGAACATTTAAGCGCGTTACGAGTGACATAAATTTCCGGTACTTATAATCACTATCAAGTATTATACATTGCAATGGAAATTCTTTTCACATTCTAAGTCAAATAGTGATATCATTTATTTGTGCTGAAAATTTGAATTTCTGTTTTGAATTCAAATGAAAAACTAGCCCCAGACACTAGCCCCAGACACTCATCCCAGACACTAGGCCCAGAAACTAGCTCCAGACACTAGCCCCAGAAGCCAAAAAGAATCAAAGTTTATATTTAATCCCTCATAAACTTTATTGTGAACTTTATTTTATGATAAAGACAGAAGAAAGGAAATAGGAGGCAAACTTATAGACAGGACATAAATTGTAGAACCGAAAAGAGAAAAGCTTAATACACGAACTCTTGTGCACTAGTCAGAGCGAGAGGATTAATTATGTTCAGGTCAACTGATTAACTGGAGAAGACACCATCAACATTCTAGGCCAGTGCCGGATAGACAGCGTCTGACCCAACAATTAACAGAGCTTGGCTGAACCCTCCAACCCGTAAAGACAAACTTATGGAAGTTACAACAGGGGAATACGTGCTTCCCCTTTCTTAAAGCGGTCCTTTAATGCTGCGAACGAGTCATCTTCAAAAATTTCTCTTGAATTTAAAACTATTACATTCATAGGGAAAGACCTAACCAGCGTTCATAAAATCACGTCGGTTCGATCAGAATCAAGGGAAATCCATAATTCTGAGAGCAAAAATAATGTTTCAAATTATTTTGTTTTACTTTTCTCACATATTTCTGTTGTGGATGCTATGGGTGTATGTGAACCGTAAAATATACGCAGACAAAAATATTTGGTTGTATGCTTAAGACTTCACCTTGTGAAGAAAATAAAGTCAAATTTTTTGAAAGATCAGACAACAATGGTTCAAGAAATAGACAAAATCTGCCAAGAAAATGTAGAAATCCCAAGAAAAATAGGAAACGTGTTAAATTAGTTCCATTCCCAGTTTCAAAAATGAGATTCCTTCTCAAAACGTTGTAACAGAGAAGTATGCCGACTGTTTGAGTGCCATGTGTCTTGTCATATTTTACCGCAGTTACCCCTCCACCATGGGCACGCTGATAGTTATCTCCCTAACAAACACCCACTAACTTCAATACTCGTTTCTGACAAATGCTCACTCTATGTCTTCATAACAGGTAATAGATTATAAAAGTTCTCTTCACCTTTCCAGAAAATATGGAGACACTTTTATTCTTGTTACTCACTATGTTGTTGATGGTGAGGAACTGTGCGGACGGTACCTACAGGGGAGCTTTAGCGGAACAGGTGGGCGAGGTGGTTGGCCAGGTGGTGGAGCAGCATCTGTCTGACTGTCACTTGGTGCTGGTAGACACAACAACACAAAGCCCAGTGTTTTCCACGATGATCAGGTGAGACAGAAGTTTAGTTAACTGAGGATCATAAGCATTGCAGTCAACAACAGAAGCTCGTCTCAACCCACCTGCACGATATGAGGCAGGTGATCTGATAACAATGTATTACCTGAGATTAGCTGGAACACTGGAAAGTTTTAAAAGGAGGCTAGAGAGATTCATGGACGATAGAGAGTGGCTGGAACTCTCGACAGGAGCTGCCATGCACAGGCCAACCGACCTATTGCAGACTCCTTATTTTCTTATGTTCTTATACATTTCTTGTATATAACTTAAATAGTATCAGTGTTTAAAATGTAGGAATATAATGTTAAGAAATATATGTCATTGCTGCAGGATGTTACATAACTGGGGAACAAGACGTCATCTTATTGCTAATATCAACAAGTATTTTTCATGCTTAATGATATTTTAAATTACTTTATTTTCCTACGTTTACACAATGATACTATTTAAGTTGCTGTATATACAAGAAATGTATTCTTAGGCAATCTCCAATCATAAATCATAAATAACTAGCCTATTAAAGCATATCTGTCAATTCCTCTCCATACAGTGTTACTAGATCACCTGCGTTATAACGTGCAGGATTGTTGGGAAGACCTTCTGCTGTTGACTGTACTGTACCTATCGTGTATTTTGTAGTGGAGATTGAACCTAACACTTCCCACAAGTTACTGGGCTCGCCTCTAAGCTGTATCTGCCGATTCATATTATGCTTGTAACCTGAAGTATATCGGACGTTGGGGTTCATTTAAAAAACGGCTGTAACTCGGAAAATTAAGGAATCACGATGGCCTTTTTAGTAAGGACTGCCCTGTATCGAAAACTAACATATCTACGAACTAAAAAATTACAGCGATAAAATCTGAAACATTATACATAGGCCTATATCTGTGGCATATATGAGTAAAGGTTTTCATTTAATGCAATTTGTTTGACTTGAATGGAGATTGAACAAAAATTTTATTTATTTTTTATTTTTCTGTGATCGAATAACTATTTTTTTCTAGCGGGAGCGCAAAGTTTATAAACATACATGAGACAACAACTATATAAAATTGCTCTTTCTTTCATATTTTTTTAATTGTTGATGGACTGGTGTAATTATTAACCTTGTTACGCACTTAAAGACCTTAGATGTAAGAGCAGTAATAACATTATAACAATAACAGCAACCATCATACACTAAGAAAGATATATCTGTAACATTGTCTTGCTCCTAACAGTAATTTTTCCGTTGAATGTTGCTCATTATTCAGAGAAATCTTATACAAAATCTTAATATTTTGTTGTGAAGTTTTCGGTAAACAGCGCGACAAATTCAAAAGAGGGTTAAGCGAAAGAACGAGCAAATTCAAAGAAGGAGACACAAAAAAATTATTTATATAATAAAAAAAATGGTAAATCATGAAGATTACATTGCATATGTTGTTCATGAAAGGTTTTGATGCAGCAGCTTGACTGTCCAGATAGATGTCAAGTTTGACGACGGTAGAGAAAAAAACTTTGGCAATATCAAATCCACTGGAACAACGTCTCAGGGAGAGTTCATAAAAAAAGACAAACGAACGAAATACTGTTAGGCGGAGCAAGGATGCATGTGGTATGTTTCTTATTGGCGCAATCAATATTTGTTTCTACTTCAGACAGCTAATGAGAAGTGGACTAGGTGTGACAGTGTTAGAGGCATGGTGGGTGTTCTTTCAGAGTCAACCTGCCAGAGATTTTCTCCTGGAGAGGCTGTGGGGAGATGCTACCCTCACTTGCTGTGCCCTCCTCATTCATCTTGACAACAAAATCAGCAGTAACATCTTAACGTTTAAGTAAGTTATGTTAACATCGTATAACTCAAATTTCATAAAACCTGTTTTTTAATATTTGCTTTTCGGATATCATGCCAGTTGTTCAACAGATTCGGCAGTTTACTAGTTGAACGCAGTGTCGAGCCAAAACGTGATGCACAATTACCTATCAAATCTGAGATTCACGTAGGTTCCTGGAGTGGTGTGAGCTATGGCGCCACCCACAGACAGTGGTGGTGGCTGTGGGTGGGACTGCAGGGATGGAGGCTGTCCTTCTCGATCAAAATCTTCGTAATACCGTCTATGCCCTCTACTTGACCCTCCAGAACCTTACTCTCCACAGCCTTGACAGTCGCCAGGGACCACTACACAACACAAGGCTCGGGAGGGGTGGTACCACGAAAGGTAATGTTTAAGTGAATGTTTCTTTTATCAAAAATGCGACCATAACAGCAGGAAAATATAAACTAATATTGCTAAGATGGTAATAACGAAAATGTAAATTAAAAAATAAACGCACTTCTTTCCCACCTTCCGTAAACAGAAGGTAAGGATGCGCACGTGAGGGTGTACGGGCGATGTCTGTACTGCAACAAGGGTGATGCTCAGGTCCAACTTCTCCACCGGGGGAACCTGACCTCCGGCCTCCACGGCTTCAACCTCTTCCCAGGTACGTCGACTACATAACAAAATGGGATTCCAACTACAAAAAAATTCCGTCAAAAATATGAATTTATTTAGTATAAGTTTTCTATCATATATTCAGAGATAAATAGCGTTAAACTCTTAGCTCCGGACGTCCACACACGAGAGAATGCCTACTGGTATAGTTCGTTAATCACTTCTGCCATCACACAGGTAAACTTACTGTAGCAGCATTCAACTACTAACTCTAAGCACTCGCTTTCTGACCTAACATTCAATGATTCTAGTTCTGTATCCAGCCATTGTGCGGTTTACTCCCAGTCTGCTCAGCTGCAAACCTGAGGAAGCGAAAGGCGAAATAATACGAGTATATTGGCTGCACGCCATCTCCTGAGTCTTTAGTGAGCTCTATCCATGCTGCCCCATTACGGGTTGTCAGGGTTGAGAAACCATATAAAACGAACAATTTGGTTTGAATTAATCGGCCAGTGAAAGAGTACTTGCAAGTATAGTTAACCTGTTATTCCTTTGAGAAAAATTAGTCAGAAACTTGGTAACTGTATCCATGTAATGTGAAGATGTACTTATGGAGAGCCGCATAAGTTTCGACATGACTACCGGGGAACACTAGAGGTCCTCACAGTTCCATAATTGGCACACTACTATTTGTAGAGATTATATGTGCTTGTGTGTGTATGCGTGTGTGTGTGTGTAAATAAAGCGTTTATAGTGTGCTTATGGGACTGAAAGTCAGCATTATGCCAACTTTAGAGCCCAGGCAGTAATCATGTACAAAATTTAAGATGTTCAGTGTTAGCAGACAGCCGGTTTGTAGGTTCATAAATACACTTTAAAAATCATTTTTCCGTAATTAACAGACACGCTCTAAGAACAGCGTATGGTCAACACTGAGCCACTAATATGACGAAAGATGTTTTGCTCGAGATTTGAAGACAGGTCGCTTTAAATAATGACAACGAACTTGATTCAAAATAAGCAAAGTAAGTGTATGCAAGGCGACGGGAAAGGGAACATTTTCAAAATGACAAACAAAGTCTTATAGGGAACTCAAAATTTAAAATGTAAATAGACGTTTACTGTAATTCGCTATTAATTTATATCATTCTGCCTAAATCAGGTCGCTCACTGATGCGGTAATATTTGCATACGTTGATATATACAGATGGATAGAGAGACAATCGACAAAATGCCATTAGAAAATATTTCATGACCCAATATATTCAAATGGAAGAAGTCGCACCAGTTTTAATCTATGTGAAATCTAATAATTTAATAGAGAAAGTAAGTTGAAATGTTGTCCTTTAACCTCATGCATATATTATCCCTAGATCAAATGGATAACTTTTGGGGCCACACATTCCGCGCTGTTACCCTACGTTACATGCCCTTCATCAACTACGAGCAGGACGGAGCAGAACCAGGCACCCCAAGAACTCCCCTGGACTCCCTTAATATCCGCATGCTGGACATCATCGCTTCTCACTTCAACTTCACGTAAGTCAGTTCCTTTACATGAGACCCAAGTCATGCCAATACCAATAATAACAATACTAGAGTCAGTTATGGATGAGCCACGGGTCTGATCAAACACATGAATAAATCTTACCACCAACGTAATGACTCAGCCGCATACAGCCAAGAATCCTCATCCTGGCAACATTCCTTTCCCTCAGTTCTTTCCGCTGTACTCTTCCTCGTGATCGCCAGTGTGTGGTAAAGCACGTTATCCCCACCTTCCCCTTGTTTAGTGGAAAAAGAAAAAAAGCTCACCGGGTAGTTTGCAGTGTACTCTAAAACGTTTACCTGGAGGAAAAAAAATATAGACATTTTTTTAAAGAACTAAATAATAGTTAAAAAGGAAATGGAATTATGTGAATGACCAATAAGATAAAGATAAATCCATACGCTTAACTGGTGAATATTCTCAAATATATAGCGCATGACACCCAGGTATGAGATACGTGAGCCTTGGGATAGGAACTGGGGTACTCCGGCTGGTGGTGGTAACTGGACGGGGATTGTGGGCACCCTCCAGCACGAGCAGGCTGACTTCTCCCTCGACCTAACAGTCACAGCATCAAGAAGCCTCGTCGTCGACTACTCCAGGGTCTACAGCAACGACCCCATAGTTATTATCACCCTCAAGCCCGCACCTCTACCGCGGAACCTGGCGCTCACCAGGCCATTTGAAGGTAATGTCATATATATATATATATATATATATATATATATATATATATATATATATATATATATATATATATATATATATATATATATATATATATATATATATATATATATATATATACTTTATGCAAGTAAATCACTGTAGGTGCGTGTGATCCAAGTATATGCTGATAATCACAAGGAAACAAGAAAACACGAAGTTCCCAAGTATTACTCCTTAGTCTGTACTCACCCCTGAAGATGTGAATTACACGAAAGCGCTTCGGAACTTCGTGTTTTCTTGTTTCCTTGTGGTTATCAGCATATATATATACTGTATAATTTACGTGTGTCTGTGCGTAGTACAAATGATACAGCGATGCAGTGTTTTTCATATTGTCAGAGTAAATATTATTTTTTGTTCTTCAGTACACCTTAACATGTATACCTATGTTGACACGTAGCACTTTTAAGCTAATTTATCCCTCGTTACATTGCTGATGCTTTTGGTTATCTTTGCACAACTTATTTAAATGTCAGAAACAGGGGTTTGGAAAATATTATCCTTGACATTTCCCCACAAAAAATCTAAGGGCAATACACATCCACTTGGGTGCCATGGGACTGGCTTATCATGTCTAGTTCATCCAACGCTTGAGATACATATATCCCGACATATTCTACTGAGAAAAAGAAGTTCTAACATTGATTTCCATGATGGTGGAAAGAGAGGGATGATCTTTACTGTATCGAAGACGGTAATTCCATTAAACTATTGTCCCTGTATGTATATTATGTATGTTGTATGTATATTATGTATGTACTCCATTTATATACATTACTTATTTAGCCAGCAGCGTGTGGCAATGTCCTTTATCATGTCACCACACGCTTAGATAATGTGCCTGGCGACATCTGGAAGCTGCTAATGTATCACTTGCCACATGTCGCCTGAGAGGTCAGTTGACCCATAGAGAGAGTAGGGAGTACAGTCTTGCTTGTACCTCTGTGCAGATCCAGCAAATAGAACCTACAATGAACTCTAGAGGTGTTTGTGTTCGCTCCTGTAGTTAGAACTGAGGACCCAGAATATGTACATGGCGCAGTGAGTTAATTGACTGGATCAGTGCAAGTGCTTTTGTGTAAAGTCTGTGGGAAGACCGGCTCATGGACTCCCCCGCTCTGTCAACAGTCAACGCAGTTTCCCCCAAGAACTTGTTTTGAATGTACAGCAAGTTTGAGAAGTGTTGCAGTGACAGCAAGTTTCTGTGAAGTGTTATAAGTGCCTTGTGCGTGCAGTGCTTTAAGTGTGGACCCTTTTATAAAGGATTCCCCAAGGTGGAAGGCTTGTACATGTACAGGGCATTTTTGAGGAGCAATGTTCAGCACACCCTCCCCAGACCGTGTCTCGAGGGTAACTGACTCCTGCTCGCCTGCAGGGTTGCCAGATGTACGACAAGCTTCACGGCCAACTTCACGCCATCTTACGGCCATAATTGCCAAAATTCGGCCAAAACTTTTTGAATGGGAAGCACAAGGCTATTTTTGCAATCCACACCAAATAAAAGTATCCCTTACAATATCCACTTAAAACGTTGTAATAAAACCAAATTTTCACTTAGAATTGAGAGTCCAATAATTACATAAACATAATATCTATAATCTACAGTGAAGATTTACCTTAATCATAAATGGTGGTGGAGCATGATAATGGTGGAGAACTTGATAACACTAGTTGGCGTCAGCAAAACGTCTAGTTCGTCATCGTCCCCTGGTTTCTTATATTTTCTACCACTGTCGTAGGACCCTTTCCATTTACTAGTGGACATTTTCAAAACTAGCACTCGGAATTTCAGAAAGTAACTCAGTTGGCTTTGTTAGCTCTGAAGCTTTATCCATATGCTGGACACGTTCAGCCTGAACAACTCAAATATGAGAACTAACAACTAAGGTAGTAACTAGAAAGATCAGTCAGCTCAGTAGGTCAAGTAAACATGAGAAGAGGTGAGGTCACTCATTAGGTGAGGTCATGACAAGGTGAGGTCACTGAGCCAGCATTTTCATTGTGAAATTTGAAAATCTGCTCGACTTTTCTTTAAAATCCACTAAATGAGGAATTAATACATGTTTTACAAAATTCGTCCAAAATATGGCCAAATAGTTTGGCCGTGACCATCCGTTTTTTCACGGCCAGGCGAAGTTTATTACGGCCTAATTAGAGAAATTTGGCCGTGGAAACGGCCATTTGGCAACCCTGCTCCACTGCTCCAGCCACACACCACCTGACGCGCACATACACACACACCACACACACGCACGAACGCACAGACTGCAGTCATTTCTTTATATATATTTTATATATAATCTACTTATCTGTGTATTTAATTAATTTTTTGTCTCAGATCTTGTTGATATGACGGGCTGACCGGTCAACACTGATTTGAGATACAGTATACAGATTAAGTAATTATGTCTCGTGCCGTATGCAGTGGTGTAGCTAACGCCCAGATGAGTCAGACGGATGACAGCTCTACAGAGATGGATGACCAGTGGGAGCGAGATGCTCCATCTCCCCCCACCACATCTCGAAGTCCTTCACCTCGATCTTCTGCCTTGTCTTGAGAGATAATTGCTTTCATGAAGTTTATGAGGGATGAAAGGCGCTAGGACGAATCTTGAAGACGTGTTGAGGACAAAGAAAGGAGACGAGCGGAGGCAGACAGAGACCACCAACGGAGATTGGAAGATAGTTCACGGTTTGAAGCTTTGATATCTCGCCTCACTGCTAACCAAGCCCTTGGATCTTCCACCGCTTCGGTACCAACTGGTTCAGGTTCCTCGTCAACGCCTTCGTCACGCCCTCCAGCCCCACCCAAAGCGGCTGCCCAACCCCCACCCATCTTGAAGCCTGATGTGACTTTCCAGACTTTTCGTGAATGGCGGCGACAGTGGATTGACTATGCTACAATGGTGGATCTCCAGAGCTTGTCACAGCCTAAACAACTCATTCAGCTACGTATGTGCCTGTCTTTGGAAACGCAGCGTGTCTTGGAACATACGTTGCAGGTGCCCCCAACTTCTTCATTGTCTGTAGAGGAGGTGCTTGATGTTCTACAACGGCACATCAAAGGACAGCGGAATGAAGCTCTACACAGGAGGGAATTGCTTAGCTGTAGACAGATGGAGGGCGAGACTTTTGACGCTTTCTATGTACGACTCAAGAGAGCCTCGGAAGAGGTAGACATATGCCCCAGTAATCACCAGCAGTGCGAGGAGACCCAGTTGAAGCAGGTGATCCTGATGGGTGTTAAGGACGAGGAGCTTGTCCAACGCCTCCCCTCCCTTGACTCTTCCTCTTCTCTTAAGGATGTGTTGTCAAAATGTCTCTCCTATGAGGCTACTAGGTGTGCCACCTCTGCCATCCAAGCTCCTCCTTCAGCTGTACGGGCTATGTCCCAGTACAAGAAGGACAAGAAGTCTACCCCAACGCCTTCGCCCACCACGCCCACGCCCGGCTCCTTTGGTAACAGCTGTGGTAAGCAGCACGGAACACAGGTGTGTCCAGCTGCTGAGTCTACCTGCAACAGTTGTGACCGGAAGGGCCACTGGTCACTTACAGTACGGTGCCCAGCCAAACGCGTCCAGTGCAATGTGTGTGGTCGTCTGGACCACTACGACAAGTGTTGCCCTACCAACAAACCCAAGGGACAGCGTCGGTGGAAGCAGCAGCGCCCTTCCACCAGTGAGGGACGCCCACAGTCGTCCAATCAGAAGCACGACGATCCTGGACAACGCTCGAGCCATATTAGGAAAGTGTACTCCCCCTCGCGTCCTAGGACCAAAGTTCCCCAGCACATCAGTGTCATCGTGACGTACGGCAGTGTGTCATCCCGTCTCGAGATGCTGCCCGACACTGGCGCTGATGCTACAGTCATCGGCCCCCAACATTTGCAATGTTTGGGGATCTCTCCAAGTGATCTAGGACCGCCCCCCAAGGATCTCCGCTTCACGGCAGATGGTTCACAGATGACCCCAGCCCTGGATTCACTCCAGGCACATGTCACCTTTGGCAACAGGTCGTGTCAAGCCTAAATTGATGTGCATAATGGTGTCCCGACTCCTTTGCTGTCCTACAGACATTGCCAAGAGTTGGCCATCATCTCCCAGGACTTCCCCAAACCTATTCTCGAGGTAAAACACGCCAACAGGGTGCACGAAGGGAGCAGTAACCACCCTGCCATCGCCCTACCCCTTCCTCTTGCCAGTGACACCTCTCCTTCGGTAGTTGTCCCTGCTACCTCACGTCCCCACGTCTTGGCTCGCCTTCACGAAAGTCACCGTGGAGCTGAGGCTACCAAACGGCGTGCAAGACAGACTGTGTTCTGGCCCGGCATCGACTCCGACATCTCCAATGTCGTCCGTGCGTGTGAGCCCTGCCAAGTACTACAACCCAGCCAGCAGCAGGAACTAAATGATACATTGAGTTTCTTTTATGTACTGTGGACATCTTTTCTAATTAGCGATCGATTAATAGCAAATCCTTCTCCCTTTTCCTCAGGGGAAGTTTGGATGTCGGTCATTGTGTGTACCTTAGCCCTTGGAATCATTCTGTGGCTACAGCAGAAGGTGTGGTCATGGGCGGCGAGTGGGCGTAGCGTCAGGCTGATACCCGCCTTTTTAAACAGCTGGGCGATGCTACTGATGGAACCTGTAGAAACCATACCCACCAACACAACTGGCCAGGTAGAGACATTATTCAGCCATCATAACCTTCTGTCAAAATTCACATTTCAAGTATATAATATATCGTTTTCAAAACTGGCTTAAACATTTATTTTTAATTCATAGCCAGTAAATCGAGAAGGTGGACAAATGCGATCGTCTCCTGTATTTCGGAGTGAGTAACGATTCGTATCATAACTCCTGGTGTTCAGGTCCTGGTTGGGTGGTGGTTGTTGTCGTGTGTGATCATCACCACAGCCTACCGCTCCTCCCTCATCGCCCACCTCTCCGTCCAGAGTAAGTACCCGCCCATTAACACCTTCCAGGATCTCCTCAACCTAGATGGCTGGTCCTGGGGTTCTACAGACTTACAAGGAACTTTTTTTCTTTACTTCAATGAAAGTTCCGATCCTGATCTCCAAGCAATATTAAGAGGCATAGAGGTTAGTAAACATGATCCACGAGTAGAAGTTTAATAAATACCACTTCATAGTGACCAATTCAACGACTGAAGAGTGGAATAAAATTTCACCATAATCCACATAACCAGGATAAATACTCAGGCCAGGGTAAGACATCATTAAGTAAGGCACTCGAGCCAGGACATTGATAACTCCTGTTAGCTCAACAAGTCATCAAGTATAATAATAACTTAGGAGTAATATAAAACAAGCTATATCATTGTTTCTCTCAAATGAAAATAAATCTAGTTTAATGTATCACTTGCCCAACACGAATTCTCGTTGGCATAGCTTCTTATAACATTACAGTCTTAAATTCCTTTCTGAAACTATTGCTTCACAACAGATTTACGAGATGGATAAGGGTTTGGAACGAGTGATGCAGGGTGGATTCTCCTTCATTCACATCCAGTCATACGTGACGACGGAGATGGCTCGTCTTTACACCGACAAGTTTGGCAACACACCTTTGTACATCGGCATCATGAAATATCTTGCATTCGGTGGCAACGCCTGGGGCTTCAGGTCAGTTATTTAGGGAAATGTCCAGAGGTCTGATATGTCAAAGTTTAATTTTGGGATGCTGTTATTGTCGTTTATGTTATGATAGTAAACAACGTTTTAAATGAAATGGAGTAAATTTTCTATTGCTTAATTAATTTCCATTAAATTAAAGACCCGCCCCCAAAAGAAAAAGTTATCCTAGTTTAGCAAAAACATCCGTTACGCTTTAAGGCTAATGGGTCGAGTATCCACACACACACACCATCTAATAATAATAGACCCCAAGTTAAGTGAGAATAATTTCGACCGATTACATATATATATATATATATATATATATATATATATATTTCATTAGCCCAATAGCACGTGGACTTCTACATACAATCAACACCTCAACCCGCCAGGATTCGAACCCACGGCCCACTAGCCCATGACTGTGACCGGGGAATGCTAACCGCTGGACAACCAGGATACTAAAAGCAGTCCTATACTTTGTTATATTTCACACAAAGCCTGTTCAACGAGCTTATGGCGCCGTGAACCTCGAATGGGGACTACCCGTATCACGTAGGTGGTCAGAGTAACGTTTTACCAATTCCCGCTTCGAAACACGAGGATCCATATATATTTCTATATATATATATATATATATATATATATATATATATATATATATATATATATATATATATATATATATATATATATATATATATATATATATATATATATATATATATATATATATGTATATATATATATATATATATATATATATATATATATATAGTATATATATATATATATATATATATATATATATATATATATATATATATATATATATATATATATATATATATATATATATAGTATATATAGTTCATTAGCCCAATAAAGCACGCGGACGTCTACATACAATCAACACCTCAACCCGCCAGGATTCGTGGGCCGTGGGTTCGAATCCTGGCGGGTTAGGTGACATATATATATATATATATATATATTTATATATATATATATATATATATATATATATATATTTATATATATATATACTACAATCCTAACTATCCTAACTACCCAGAACCCGAAGGTTGTAACTGCTAACCTGCCAAGTGGCAGGCATTTGCAAGAAACCGAGAAAATCACTCATGACCCGTCAGGCAGGCGGATGCTCCGCTGTTCTTTTCATTACTCTCTCTAGGTTTCAGGAGTCATGAGTGTATTTCTCCACCAACACCCGTAACATTCTTCACACATATGTTCAGAATACACCCGTACTTTAAGGCACTAACAGCCTTTCACAAACTTTTTAAGAGGAACTCCTATGTCCCACGTGTGCAATCAACCATGAGGAACGTTGATCTCACACCTGGACTTGGCTATTCTAATCACATTTCACGACCACCACCCGTAACATGCTTCACACATATGCTCAGAATACACCCATTCTTTAAGGTGCTACAGCCATTCACCAACTTTTGAAGAGGAATCCCTACGTCTCACATGTGCAATCAACCACGAGGAGCGTTGATTACACATACACCCAAAGCTAGGGAGATGAATGTCTCTATGTAACCACTAGAACTCCCGGTCGCAGCGTGTGACCTTTCATTCACTCAGTCTGCACTCAGTTTGCTCCCAGTGCTTCAAGGACAGGAAGAGAGCAACCGTCAGCCCGCCTAGTTAGGCCAGTTGAACCCTGCCCAGCTGAGGGCGGGGTTCTACTTTCCAGTCAGTAAGATTTTTCACTGACTGACTGAAGAAATGTGGTGTTGTATGAGCCAAGGTGGGGAAATTTAATGAACCAGATCGACCACCGACCAAAGTGCGGATGCTGGTTCTAGTAGTTAGTCGTCAGAGACACCTGTTCGTCTCGGGCTTTGCCAGCTATATCTTCCAAACCACCACTAACGACCCACCAACCATCACCGACCAACCAAGTGGGTTCTCGTAAAGCGGGAAAAGGAGCAATTTGTTAGCTACTGTTAAATTCTTCTCAGCGTATAAACGCCTTGGTTGAGGACGTTCAGGTGACGGGCAAGTCGAAGGGAATGATTGAAACCTGCCCTTTGATGCATTCAATATTTATTGATGTGGTTAAAACCTGCAGAGAACAAGGCGTTCATTAGTATTGCATGGTGATCTATCCGATACATAGTTGTCTCAGACGATTTCATCTTAATTACAATTGATTATTAAGCATAGTGACATGATGCAAAGTTCATAACTCTATTAATCTTAGTTACATTTCATTCCTCATTGTCTTATTGCTCCAGATAAGGCAGAAGCGAGTAGGCATAATTAGTCCACAATATTTCAGTACTGAGGAGTATGTCATCACTTTGGCTGTACTTACAAGTGCGGGTCAATGCGAACCAGTATGGTGTTCCAAGGGACAATAGTACTGTGTAAATTGTTCCAGCACAAAACTCGGCCAGGATTGGGAGTCCGTGTTCACCACAGAGGGCTGGTCCTCATAGCATAGAGGGTGATCTGCATCATGGAGGCTGGGCGGCCACGCCACCCTCTACTAAACCATACACTCAGCAGAATCAGGGCATCTTGTTTGTGCAGGTCGCGTGGGGGGGCGGCGCACATGGTCGCAAGTTGATAGATTTAATGTTTGTTCGGGTAAGGGAACGCCAGCACTGTAGTTGAAGCCAGCGGCGATAACAGTTAGCTACTGTTAAATTCTTCTCCGCCCTATCTAAACACTGTCTAAGAACGAATAAAAACTTACTCCCAACACTGATGAAACGTGCACGGGAAGGGACGAGGCCACGTGGTCGTTTTCCTTGGCAGAATGCGTAGAAGACGTCCGTCTTGGTCAATGAATGGCGCTGACTGACTCATCACCCTCGCATCCCTCAGGGCGCTCACCTGCCTCCCCCCATGACGTCATCCTTCTGCTATTTCTAATAGTTTTCTTTGGGACACACGTGACATATTTAGACTGGGAAACTATCCACAGTAACTTAAAATTTTATAATTGTCCCTTAACTTCATGAATTGTGTCTTCATTAATTCGATAAAGTACATTTAATTTTCTATAGGCCTAGTTCAACATGCATCCACCCCCAGACTGATGGCATTGCTTGTAGGCCTTTGTTTTAACTCACTACGAGGCTGGGTGTTTCAGCCTGGCCTACTTATGTTTTCCTGTTCAGCAGATTAGTCATTTTTGTTCTAACGTCTCTAAATATGCTTCTTTCCTTCCTTGACTTTATTCTTTCTGTTATCGAAGTACAATCTTTTGACAACATCGGTATCACAGATAGTTGTTTTTTTCCCCCACTCTCGACTTGTTTTTGTCTATAGTCATCCTTCCATATGCTTCACAAATTATGTACTTCCTTACCTCGATCAGAGACATTGTATGTATCAGCTTCTTTGGCTAAAATTGGTGCCTGTGAGATTTCAAGACTTGGCTTTAAAGACCAAAACTATCACTTTTTACCAAAGTAATGTCTGTAAGCACTCTCCTTAATACTGTATTTCTCCTAGGTGTCGTAGTTCTTGTTATTTTGAACGTTCTTTGTTGAAGTACTTATTTGCGTTCGTTTTCCTTATCATTTGTATGTTATTAGTTACTTTCAGCATTTTCCATGATCATCTATCTATGTGATTGTTGATCATTCTAGAATAATCTCTTATCTATAGGCGATGCTCTTTAGGGCAGCTGCATACTGATTCGATATGAAAGTGGAGCAAAATGCACTACAGCAAAAAAAATATGTGTTATAGAGAACACTTGGTTTCCATGCGTGAAGATGACGCAGATATTTAAGGATTGTCAGCAAAAAAAGAAAATTAAATGAAAATAGAATTAAACAGGTGGCTTTGGAGGGTGAAAGATATACCAGACGAAACGAAATTCCTAAATTCTAATTTCGAGTCACTCTAAAATAAAGACAGCATATTGCATCTTTCATTACAGAAAAGGAGCTCCATTTACGAGACAGATCAGCATGATGAAAGAGCGACTGATCGAGGCGGGCCTACTGAACCTTTGGCAAGATGACGTGCTGAAGACCTACCTTAAACACAGCAGGGAGGAACGAGGCAGGGAGGACCCTCTGCTATTTACCGGTGTAAGATCATTGATAGTGTGTGTTTCTGTAATATGGTCATATAATCAGTCATAATAATTTCATCTGGAAACAAAATCTTTTTCGATATAGTTGCCAAGAATGGAACAGTTGCAAGAATATCTATATATCTATCTATCTATCTATCTATCTATCTATCTATCTATCTATCTATCAATCTACAATAAAGCAATTACATTGTACTGTACACAAGACAGTATATAACATTGAGTGCTGCGCCGTCAGATTTCACGACTCAACGCCAGTTTTCTCAGATGTCGCACTGCATTCTGCTGGTCGGGTGCATCCGCATCTCTAAGTAGTTGATCGCATTATGTTACCGTGTTGCCCTGCCCCCGTCATAGTGGTTGTAATGGTCGTCAAGTGATACTTGCTGCACTGGCTGTGGACAGTACTCCTACGAGCGAATAATGTGCCAGCCAGTCGAAGTGTTTGTTCTCGTAGTAGTTGGCTGGGTGGTTGCAGATCGGTTCCCTGGTATAAATCAACATTGCTGATACGTGTTGTCCATTGAATATTGATTGTTGCTCGTAACAGATGAGAGTGAGTAGTATCCAGTTTTCGCCCGAGTGTAACCGTCAGCGTCCACGTATCCACGGTGTAGAGTAGAATGGGTTCTACCACTGATTTGAACAGCCGCGATCGGAGTTGGTCCGGTAAGGCTGACAGTTGTCCCAACACACTCCAGACCAAGCCCCGTCGCCTAAGAAAGTCGTCGCGAGGATCGGAAACAGAGCCGCTGAGATACACGAACTTTCGGCACTGTGGCAGGTCCTCCACTTGATCGCCAGTACTTGTAAAAGCGATTCGAATGTTTTGGTCTAACTTAATGCTTATCACTTCCGTTTTCCAGGCGTTTATCTGCAATCCCGCCATTGCAGCCGTTTAAACCAAGTTGTTAAACATGTACTGTGCACTGCTCGCGGATGACGACATCAGAACGAGATGGTCGGCATAGCCCAATATGGACAATCGTTGTTCCGGGTGTCGTGTTCTCGTTTTTTTACAGAGCTGATATCCATCGACCCCTGTTGGTATCGCCGTACGCAACACCCAGTCTAATAGAAGAATAAAGGGAAAAGGCGCTTATGTGTCTCCTTGCAGCACTCCGGACGTGTCCGATATCTGACAGTGTCTGCTAACCCGTCTGGCGTGACCACAGAAGCTTTTGTGTGATTGTACAGAGCCATTATTCCGGTGATTAGAATCGAGGGAACATTGATATTGATATTAATATTGAAACAGTTTATTTAGTTAGAAAAATACAGATACAGAGTGGATAATAATAACAATATTGATATGATTTAGCCAATTGAGAACCTGAGTTCTCATGGCGGTGCCTGCACATTTATCTCAAGGAAGCATTATGTAACATGTAGTATCATCTGGAAGAGTAGACGAACATTGTGTTAGTATAAACTTATGAGAATGCTACCACGATCATCACTTGGTTATTTATTTATTTTCATTCTCTCTTTTTTTTACATTTAATTAAAAGTATATACATATTTTACAGTGAAGTTGATATACCTGTGCAATAATCTGATAATGAGGGAAGAATTTCAACATGGGTTGTATTAAGGCGAAACAAGGGGACAGAAACAGTCAGGATCATGTTGTGACGGCAAATATATAATTATTGCAATGTTAATTTCTATCTATCTACGTGCCAATATATGCTATAATGGTTTTGGTGGTACAATGAAAGTAAGAGTATAAAGTAAGATTTCCAAAATTATTAATACTTAGACAATATATATTTTTTAAGAGATGATTTAAAGGAATGGAGCGAAGTCTTTGCTCAGGTGGGTGGGAGGTCTGGGACTGAGAGAACCGAGTGGGGGTGAGGGGGGGTCTAAGTAGCTCTGGGTGTCTTAATTTGTATCTTTGATAATTCCAGGACTGTGAATAGTTATTCTCAATCAAGTGATTGACAGATGTATAAACTAATAGAGCACGACAATAAGTGTTAGTAGTATCGCATTTTAACATTTTCAATTTGGCAAATTTTTCGTTAGTGTGATCAGTTTTTTCTAGTAGGTCATTGTCCGCACAACTCTTTTCTGTGCAGTGACCAGGGGTTGTATTTTTGTGGAGCCAGAGGCCCCCATAGTGTGTGACAGTGTATCAAGTGTTTGTAAATAAGATTATAATAGATTTCTTTCATTGCTGCAAGAGTGACTGACTGGCAAGTGTGAACCAGGATACCGCACTGTTTATTGACTTTACTGTGAATGGCATGTACAGTATGTGGTATCTCAAATGTCTTTTGGAAATCGACGAAAATTACGACGAGGTCTTTCTGGTGAATTTTAGCTTCTTCCACAACACGTCTCAAAGCCTGAATTTGGATCACTGTGTCTCTGTGCAGGCGAAAACCATTATGCTCTGGTCGTAAACAACTATCTAGTACAGGCTGCAATCTCTTCAGGAGAACCTTACTGTGTAGTTTCACAGTGCAGGACATCAGAGAAACCTCTTGATGGCCTTCCATCTTTGTTGCTCCGAGCTTCTTTGGAATTTCTACAATCTGCAATTTTCTCCATTCATCTAGTGGATCTTCGTCTTCTAAGATGTCGTTCATAATCGAGACGCGTTGATGGACCAATGCCGGGATATGCAACACCTCAACCGGAACACCATCTAGTCCCTTTGCTTTCCCACCGGGGCTATCTCGTGCAATGCTGAAGAATTCAGCTACTGTGACTGGACCAGTGTTGAATTTATCCAAAAAATAGAATTTTGATTTATTGAGGTAGAACAATTTCTGCGGCGGAAGAAAGTGGTGCTTTTAACTATCTTACAGAAAAACGTCTTCTTCAAACAGTTCTTGGGTTCTTCCAGAGTGTTTCCCGCGAGATTCAGTGAAACTTTCTTCTTTTGACCGGTCAGCGTGTTGATGGTATTCCACGCAGCACGCCCTCTGGTTTCGTACCCGCTGATGACATTGACCGAATGGCGTCGTCAATAGCAATCAACCGTCTCTCTTCATAAATTTTAGCGAAATCTAACACTACAGTATCTGCTTCGCCATTCCTTCCTGTTCTTCTCGGATGCTCAACTTTCTTGTGGGCTTGAACTACCTGTGGATTATCTTCCTAAATTGATTTGTCGGGTCGCAGTCTACACGTGACGGGAATAGTCTGTCCTGCTGCTTTGTTGATTGCCTGCACAATGTGTGTATAGGACGGCGTTTGCTCTTCCTGGATTCTAATTGAAAAATAACAAGAGACATGACACTGGGTACCGCGCTGTCGAAGACCGCCGAAATTTCGCCGAGGTTTCGATCTAGGTGGCCTGAGAAGATAATCTTGCAGTCTGTTCTTGCAGTGAACTAGTTTATAATCAATCTTCGGCAAAAGGCACCTGGCCGTGTCACAGTCAGATATCCAGGCACGCTACTGATACCCATAGCAGGATATGATCCAACTGAGTATGATGAGTGGCGATGTTTCGGTGATTCTCAGTTCTCTTGCGACACTCACATCCAGAAAATGTAGTGAATCTGGACACTGGTTTTCAAAAAATCGTTTTAGCTGACACAAGGCCATGCTTAGTGAGCTTTCTGGATTTTCTGCACAAAAATCTGCAGAAACGTAAGACATCACTGGCCGTTGCCCTTGTTGACTTCAGGAAGGCCTTTGACCTTGTTGATCACTGCACTGTTATCAACAAGGCCATTGCACTAGGGCTGCCCACCAACCTGGTCTCATGGCTCACTGATTTCTTGAGTGGACGTCGTCAGGCAGTGAGGTATCAGGACTCGGTCTCCACATTTCAACACCTCACCTGTGGTGTTCCCCAGGGGACCAAGATGGGACCACTGTGCTTCCTCATCCAGATCAACGACGCTCTATCGGACACTCCTCACAGGTGGAAGTATGTGGATGACTGCACTGTAGGGGTTTTAGTGGACAACACCGCACCAGACTACTCATCACTACAAGACACCCTGGACAGGCTACAGGCATGGACTACGGAGAACAAAGTCACCATCAACCACATCAAAACCGTAGTCGTGCACATCAATACCGCCACCACTCCAGTGCAAGGCCCAGCTGTCACAGTGGGTGCCCATCCTCTCCAGCTGGTGCAGTCTGCCAAACTCCTGGGTGTAACTATAGACAACAAATTGGACTGGAAAACCCATGTAAATAACACAGTCAAGGCAGCCTTGTACCGTCTCTACATGCTACGACGACTTAGGTTACTTGGGACACCCACGGCAGAGCTGAGGACTATCTACAACGCCTTTATTCTCCCCAAACTAACGTATGCGTCACCAGCCTGGTCGTCTTCTCTCAACTCCATCCAACAACGTCGGCTAGAGAAGGTACAGAAAAGGGCCTGCAGAATCATTTTCGGTGCAGAATACTCCGGCTACATCAACACTCTCTCCACCCTGGAAATGCCATCCCTCAGTGACCTCCACCACCAAGCACTGGAAAGGTTTGGCAGCCAACTAATGCACCACTCTCTCATGGCCACCTCCTGCCACCGGCAGCCCCCCACCCACCTCGCACAGTCCACCACTACAACAAAATTCAGCCCATAAGAGCCCGCACCGATATATATAAGAATAGCACCATCCCATCTTTTGTTAAAATAATAAACAACTCCTGATTTATGTACTGTACAGCCATGTAAATGTATTCAACTCAAATTATATCATTATGTCTAAATCAAATGTAAGTCTGCATATTTTCACCCACCGGCTGCAACTCTATTAATAAACCATTTATTATTATTATTATTATTATTATTATTATTATTATTATTATTATTATTATTATTATTATTATTATTATTATTATTATTATTATTATTATTATTATTATTCGCGTTTTCTCTGGAAATCTCGTTTTGTGCTCTAGCAGATTTTCTCATAGTGGCGTTCAAATCTCCCAATATTAATATGGTGTCTCGATGGGCGACTGCGTCTACTTGACCGTAGAGGAAATCAAGAAGTCTCTGTTATTGTC